TTTTATATTGGTCGTTGGAATAATTCAAATATTATGCATAGTGTTAACGAATTAATGATAGCAAAATATTAGTCCGAATTAGTGCGAATCGCTGTCTGTAGAATAAGATAATTTTTGTACGTTTAATAATCTGATGTGGGTCATACGACCCGTCTTTTGAAAGGTATTTTAATTAAAAATTGTGATTCAATATAATGTAGATCGGAAATCGAAATCCGAAAGGTCAGAATTATCTAGAAAAAATTGAAAATTCGGAAATAAATCTTTAAAACCGCCCTACGAATTATTAAGATCATTCCCGAAGCCCAAAGGTGAAAACACATACTTGGAAATTTGATAAAAGACCGGTCAGCGCCTCGATTCGAATCCAGATATCTTTGTTCTGTACACAAATGCCCTAACCACTGGACCATTGCGACATTGACTGTCAAGATTCCTAGCTGATAGTGTGATGTGCTAATTCGGGCCAAGCGCCGTTTTGACAATTTTAATTCTCTATCCAACTAAAACAATAAGGTCAAATATTTTCATTGCTTAATCATTATTGATATTTATAAAATTACATACCATTTACATCAAAATGTATTTATTTCGCTATCAAAAGAAAGTATGAAGAATTACTTTTTTTAAATAAATATTTTTACAAGTATAGTTAAGTCCATCCGTGGACACACTGTACGTATAATGCTATAGAACTAACTCACATTATAACATCTGTAAAACGTTTCAGAACAACTGTTTGGGAAAAGTACTGTTAACCTGCTAGTGTGATGTTTTCCAAATTCACTTTGTAACCTCTATGAAATGTGCTATAAAAGTCTCATTCGATGGTTGCATGGATATTAGGGTTACATTAAAAGGACTGCATGCAAGCTTAAATAGTACGGAATTCCAGCAGCTTATTAACGTAGAGATGGGATATTTATGTGCTAGCTGGGATAGCTTTAACCACAGAAGCATTTTTAATTTTTACTAATTCTTGATTTTATTTTTTATTTTGGTCAGACTTGCAAAAAGGGTTCCTTTTTATGATTTTAGATCTATTTCATTTTACTATTTTTTTTAGTTTCTATTAAACTTGCAAATGTTCCTATTATTTATTTTTAAGTAAGTCATTAGTTTTGAAATGTTTTTCATCGTTTCCATAAAATATATAACAAAATATTCATATATTATTTATGTGTATTTTATTTAATCAAGCGTGCCCCTATAAATATCTTACACCGAGGCCCTCTATATCAAGGTACCCTACTGGGTTTAGACAATGTTTATACTCGTATAATTCCTAGTGCTGTATATCAGATCCGGATTCTTTTTTAATTTAGATCAGGTCTGGATCTGATTCTAGATCAAATGTAATGACAAAGATAGAAAGTGTAATAACTAATTGGAATCTTACAGGAAAAGTATGTGCTGTGGTTCATGATAATGCTAGTAATACAAAAAGTGTCATTACAAAAAATAGGAATATTGTTGGTGAAAGTATCCCTTGTTTTGCGCATACGTTGAAATTATGTATAAATCGAGGATAGAGTCAAACTACAATTGAAAAAATTACTAAAATGGGGAGGAGTATAGTCGCTTATTTTCATCATTTAAATGTTGCCACCGAAGCTTTGAAGAGTCTACAGCAACAACTTAAAATAATCCACAATGGAACTCCACGTTCGACATGTTTAAGCGTTTGGTAGAACAGAGGCAGGCTATCAATGCCGTTTTAACAGATAGATCAGTTACTTTGTCTATAACTGCTACGAGCCTAAAGACTAAATGAAGAAGATTGGATTACTATGGAAATATTTGTTAAAATACTTGAATCGTTTGAAAAAGCTACTACTGCCGGAGAGTAACATTGTCGACAACAAAACCTATTATGACGTCTTTTGTAACAAATTTCTTAGTTATTTGCGATAGTAATTTACTATACGAACCTGTAAGTCTTTTTAAAACCACTGCTGTTGAAGAAATAAATACAAGATTCTTGTTTAATTTAGAAGATGCATATTTAACCATTTTTGACACGACTTCAATATTTGACCATAGATTTAAAAGCACTTTGCATGAAAATATAAAAAAATGCAAATATATATTTGGAACAGACACTAGCAAGATTAACCAATCAAAGCGAGGAAGTAGAAACTTTTTATTGGGTTTCTTTTTCCCAATACCGTCAGTTCCTAAGGAGTTGAATAAGGTTGAAAAATATATTGTAGGGAATATAGACACACTAGTATTTTCATATGAAAATCACCTAGATAAAATATGTCTCCATTCTGAGTTGTTTAAAAATTTAAAAATTATTTCTGTCCAGTACTTTAAAACTATTTGACGTATTATTGTCATATTTGGCGGGAAGTGTAGATACTATGCACCCTACTAAATTATGTTAAATAAACGTTTCTGGCTACCGTCAGAGGCGTACGACAGGGGCAAGTGACTGGTTAATCCTTCCCAAATTCTACTGGCGGAAATGCAATTTTATCACAATTTTTCGATTCTCCAATACTTCCTACGTAAATATTGTATTTTTTCTTCATAGCGATAAAGTTATTATTTTTCGAGATATTTTTTAAGTTAAACATGAAGCTGTACAATTATTTTGATTTTAATGTTTATTAATAATTATGTCGATATTTTGGGACATTGGATTGCATTTATTACGCAAATGAAACTTTAATGCGTATTAACTAAAAAAAATGTCTCCTGTTTGAGTTACACAGTGTTTTTTATTTTTGTGCCCAGTACTTTAAAACTATTTAACGTAATATTGTCATATTTGGCGGGATACATGCTTTCATAGTACGACATATTCAAAATAAGCTTAGGTTTTGTGTAGTTGGCTCTGGTCTGACTTAAATGTTTCGATCTAGTAGGATGCTGTCATTGCTGTTAGTTGCTACTGACACTTAAGATTGTGATTGTTGTAAAATTTAAAAAATCGATTAAATGAAAATTCCGCGACACAAGAATTTTACTAATCTTGAAATGTGAGACATGCTCTGTGTTTATGTAAACGAAAATTATTCCTCTCTTGCTGCTGCTCGAAGATATCAAGAAATCTATCCAAACGGAGTTCATCCCAATCGCCAGACTTTCAGTAATATTTTTAATCATTTAGGAGAAACTGAACAATTTAGGCGTAACAGTGGTATGGGATGACCGAAAATATCAACTATGGATCAAGAAAATGATATTTTAGTGAGAGTTGCTGATAATCCTAAACTAAGTACTCGGCGTTTAGCAGCAATGGCTGCAGTGTTAGTGAATTTACGTGGCCGCCTCGAAGTCCCGATTGTAATCCCTTAGATTTCTATTTCTGAGGTCATATAAAATCACTGGTATATTCCCAAGCAATAAATACTCGACAGGAACTTTTGGCAGTAAATTTTAAATTCCAATTAGCCAAACATATTTTTTTAAATTGAATAAATAAACTTATTGAGGTAAACGGGGGTTACATTGAACATTTGTTATAAAAAGTTTTTTAAGTATTGTTCTTTGTGCTTTTTGATATTGTCTTCTTATTAAAATTGTTCCTTTATTTAGATTATTTGTTTAAATTTTTTAATCCATGTTAACGTGGTTAATCACTCTCTGTGAAATAAATAGGCTATATGATTTAATTACTGGTTCTATTAAAAGCAACAAAAGTACAAAAAATTGTGCCATTCGGCAATCCAAAGCGTATCCAATAATAATTTAAAGTTGACTCAATTAATGTAAAACAAAATAATTGTGCAGCTTCATGTTTAACTTAAAATAAATCGAAAAATAATAACTTTATCGCTATGAAGAAAGAGTATGATATTTACGTAGAAAGTATTGGAAAATCTAAAAATTGTGATAAAGTTGCAATTTCGCCACTGGCGTAGAATCTGGGAAGAATTAACCAGTCACTCACCCTTGTCGTACGCCTCTGATGGTAGCCAGAAACGTTTATTTAATACAATTTTGTATAGTGCATAGTATCTATACTTCCCGCCAAATATGACAATAATACGTCAAATAGTTTTAAAGTACTGGACAGAAATAATGATTAAATTTTTAAACAAAACACCCTGTAACTCAGAATTAAGACTCATTTTATCTAGGTTATTTGGGTTAAATGTTCATAATTTGAGCTCAGGATTCTATAGTTGAAATATTTCCAATTAGTAATGAATCACCCTATATATGAATTTCTATATAACATTAATTACAGTAATTAAAAATGTCGGGTTATCTTGAATTATTAGTAGAACATCTAATTTCCTGTTTTTCGTTATTAGCCTCCTGCTACCTTTAGGGACGTGTTTTACATGTTTCTCTTTCTTCTCAATTTTGCTGATTGTGTATTGAGAAATTAGTTCTCTGTTGCGATATTTTTTTTTTTAAATAGAGTACAACCAATAATTATTTTGTTAAAATTTCGATTCTTTCTGATTCATTTAACTTAATGTTAATAAATACAAACACGTTTTGAATATTTCCAATAATATCCCCAGAAGCCGTCTTGATAAGATAAAAAACATTTCATAAAAAAGCTTAAAAAAAACAAGATAAAACAAAAAATACAAAAATCAAGTAAAATGCTACGTGACTACCCTTGCCAAGTTACTTTTGGGTATTTAAAATTAAATGAAAATAAATAAAACGTAAAATGTATATTATATTTTGTAATTTCATGACAGAACACAGTAATCTTGTTGCTGTGGCTGTATAGACAATTAAAGGAACTTTTCAAAAGAGGTGGCACATAAACCACATTTATATATTAAAAAAATCATAGTTGACGTTATCATGCTCACATAAGTAACGTCACGTTTTAAAACTTAAAAATAAAGCATTTTTGAATCTAAATATCGACCGGTTTCAAAATGTTTCTCTACAATTACCGATTCTAGAAATAATGAATTTATTTCATTTATTTGCGTCATACTGCATGTACAGAATGCTCGCCTTGTTACTAGTTAGTATATACGAGTATTTTAAAACGAAAAAAAAAACGTATAAATGCTTACCAGATCTACACCATAGCTGCGAAATATTTCCAAAAACTGCATGCCTCTGAGGACCAGGCAGTCGGTTCATCAATTTCAAATAACGCACAAATTTGTTTACCTTCCTAAAGAAACCCGTAGCATACAAATAACTAATAAAAGCCCATGCACATACTAAACACGTAATTAACAACATCGCAGGTATCACGACGACGAAGGTGTAATTAGAATGATGTTATATTGTCATATACTAATGTTTTTTTTTGTACCTATACAAATCTGAATGTCCTTATGAAATGCAATCTGCTGTTAATCTTCGATCGCGATAAGTTTATGTCAAAGTACTTCCTTTTCCAATTTCCTTCTTGGATAATGTAATTAAATTTAAATATCGGTTTTGTTGTAGGTGTGAGTTAATAGAAAATGTAACCTGTTATCAAAATTAATTTTTTTAAATTAAATAATGGCTTATCAGTAGAAGATTAGCAAAATTTGCATGTTCTTTCTAAAATTAACGAAATTATTAAAATGCAATCAGATTTGCAACGGCATGATATTTTCTTGAGAACTCCCAGGCCCACTAATACATAAATGATCTTACGCGATGATAATAATTAAATACAATTAAAGTGTCATGAAGAGTTTAAGAATATCAAACTTATTTTTAAAGAAATTACAGATTGGTGCATGGAAAATCTCTTGTTACCACATACACTTATGAGACATGTTTTTGCTTGTGTCAGCTTCCTTCATATTGAGGTTGATATGCTAAAAAAATAAAGCAAAAATAAAAGTATACAATAGGTACTTACTTACCTATTGAAAATGTAAACTTTTGTAAATAAATTGTAATTGATCATTGTTTAAAACAAATAAAATAAATTGAACAAATTTTTATTTTATTTAAAAACAGGATAGTACTTCATTACATTCATAACATAGAGCAATCCACAAAAAATGTTCCTAAAGTAGGTCATAGGAAAAATAACTTATCGTGAGCTTACTGCGAAAATTTCTGGCATCCAATAGAAAACCAATTAAAATCGTTCATTTTCAGTCACGTGTATCAGCATATCCAATTATCTTTGACTTACACTGATAAGTTGCCTAGGGGTGTTATCACTTAAGTCAAGTTTGCATCAAACTATTATGTATAAATTATTACCTCTATTTTTTATTCCGCTAAATGATTAAACTCAAAACTGGACGTTTCGTCTAATAACTATTTTAATAATTATTTATTAAAAAGGTTCACAGTAGAGACAGTAATTCATGACTTTCTGCCCTTTTTCTCATTTCATTATCAATCAGTATTTAATACGAACGTTAATCTGGTGTACCCCATATGTAAACCAGGTTTAATAATATGACATTTCTAAAAAGTCAAACTTTTAACACTTTCAAATTTATTTATTTATTTTTAAATGTCTCGATTTAGTAAAACACACCAATAAATACCGTTAACAGTAAAAAATATACAGGGTGTTTCAAAAAGGTATGTCATAAATTCTTCCATAGATAGATTACCAAAAAATAAGTGAATTTGGCTATATTAACCTATATCACAAAATGGCTTCCAACAAAGTTACAGGGTGTTAAACTAACATTCATAAAAACGTTTTTTTTTTGTAAAAAGTTTGCTGTTGCGATTTTTTCTTTGAAATTTTTGCCAGTGCTGTAAATTTGAAGGCCCAATATTCTACGGAGAAAAACATTTAAAGCGACCCCCTTAAATAAGTGGGGGGTTAAGTACCTTTTAATCCCCCCGTATTTTTTTTTTACATAAAAAACTTGCTTTATTGATCTTAAAATCAAAAAGAAATATGAATTTTGAATTTATTTTTATAGTAAAATAAACTTTGTTAACGAGCAATTTATAATTTTTTAACTGAATTTATAGAGCAATTCGTCCATCCTGGACCTAACATATCAACATTGAGTTTAAATACAACACTAAGAGTAAGTCAGGAGCACGATGCACAGACTAACGGTATGTTCCTGCGCATGCAGCTGACTGACGGCGACGTCACGTGGGACATTAGCATTAAATGGGAGATAGTGTTTGAAATTCGATATTTCGCCGGTTTTAAACTTTATTCAGTTACTTAAGCTTTATTGGTTATTTTGTAATATATTTGTTTACAAATATGATAGTATAAGGTAAATAATACGAATAAAAATAATAATTGTTCTCATAAATTATAAGTATTTTGTGACAAAATCCATAATCTGGCCAAAAGATATGCAAAGAATATAGACTAAAAATACAAGTTTGACTCAAGTTTGTACTTTCTGGTAATTCTCTTGAAATCCCTTCTATTATTTTGTTAAATTAAAATAAGTATGCAGAAACAAATTATTTATTTATAAAAAGTAAGTACACAAAAAAATTACTTTTTATTTGGTATATTTAAACATTTTTTTGTCAAATTTACTTTGAAAATACTCAAAACCAATTTTTCTCTTCATGTATCTTATTCTTATATATGTTCGTGTCCTGCTCATGCATAGTATTACTTCAAAAGGGACCGTTGTACTGGGACATGAAACTACTGTTTTATCTGCTAAAATTTTAAAATACCTATTTATTTTTTTTGCTTCTAAACCTATTATACTTCTGCATTTTACTAACCATTGTTTAAATTAAGTTTGTCCTTTCTTCCATAAGAATTTACTCAGATTTTGTGGCATTTGGAAATATTTTACATTACACTATTTTTATATTTCGTATTATGGTTTTTGCAAGTCGCCACCGCGCAGTCCGGCATTTTAAACATTAATTCAGTTCTTATCTGTTATATACAGGAAAATATAGTCACTACTAACACAAAAACAAATAAATTATTACAATATTTTACATTACATTACATTCAATCGAAAAGTGTCAAAATAACTTAAAAGTTCGTCCCGCATTAAGTCACTGCGCGGTTTGGACATAATTTGAATCGAAAGTATACCATTAGCACAGTTTATAGCTAAAGAATCAGTTAGCTCACTCGGACCAATTGGATGTTCCAAAATAACATCCACTCCAGGGATACAAATTTAGGATGCGCAGGAGACTGCTGTTTGAATATAGGCGGTTGTCATATATTGTATTAGGCTTAGAACATATATAGTCTATATTCTAAAGTATAAAGGTCTATTCTCACTATAGGTCAAGCCACGATCAAGTCACGGTCCAGTCACGGTCCGATCAAAAATGATTTGTCATAATTTTAATGCTTTTAAATGAGATTTCTTTTAAACCGTTCACACATGCCGTTCATCGAACAAGCAAGTTACGGTCAAGTCACGGGCCGATCATTTCCAACAATATTTGACCGGACCGTGACTGTCCGTTGACGCGCAGACCGTCTATTGTGGATGCTCAACGACCAACCAGTCAAACAAAAAAAAGCGGGCTGTCGGTAGTATCGAAAAGGACAGAGTGATTACTGTATATGTTTAGATTTTTTTTTAAATGGCTGCTATAAAAAATTTTTCGATCTTAAACATACTGAAAGTTTTTTAGCTGGGGAAATCGATTTCCTAAATGTGGTACCATTTTTTAAAGTTCATCTTTAATTGTCAAAAAAATGTTTGAAAATTCTTCAATTTTCATTCTATAATAAACGAAAAAATTTGTTTCATCATCCATAAGTTTTTCATGCAACTTAAAAAAATTTTTGGTGTTCTTCTTCCGCTTCCAAAATAAAAACACTCATGCACCATTGCCTGCTGTACGTTGAAACAAAACTGGTCGAATATGACGATGCCATGACCCGATAGTGTGAATGCTTTCAAAAAGATTTGATCGTGACCGGACCGTGACTTGACTGTGCCTTGTCCGGCTAATGTGGATAGACCTTTAGGCATGCCAAACAAATAAACTGCCAGTGGGAAGATTTGATATATCCATTGATCTGGCAACGTAAGGATACGTCATATGTAATTATTTTTGATATACAAAATTGGGACCGGTAGGCGTGGCTTTTGCACTCACTAAAATGGCGGAAGAGCAGAACCGGATTTACAAGTTTTTATTGTACTATTTCTGGTTAAGTATCATTATTTGAACTATAAAAAATGAATTTCCTTTATTATAGATAAAAACTTACACATTGACTTAAAAGGTGGTGGAAGGCCAAGGTTACAAAAGAAGGGGGTCTAAAGATTTAAATATACCCGGTTTTCAGCCGAGAGGTGCTGAATAAAGTAAATGAAAGAAATAAAATATAACTGATTTAATTATCACTCAAGTGTGACTATTAAGTGCTGGAGAATATATTATTTGCAAAATTGCAACTAATCAATGACCATGATATAACTAACTTGGGGCCGATTCCACCATTTTAATCTTCAATTAGTTTATTTAAACTTTAACACAATGGTGGAAATAATCCTAAAGCGTTAAACTCATTCACAGAAAAAATAAATAGCATATTTTTGGTTCACATAAGCAACAAAAATAAAACGAATTCGATTTATTGGAGCAGTCGTAACACTTTTTCACTAGGGCACATACGTAGCACAGAACACTTACTCTATACGTAGCCCAATGCTTTCTGTTTCTATCTTTAAATCGGAAAGTACAAGGTCGCAAATGTCAAGTAATCTAACCTTACTTTAATTAACAGCTTCCTCGAAATTAAGAACAAATGTTCATACACTAAAAGTTCGATAATCCGATACGAAACTTAATGCAAGGCTCGAGGAAAATGGCTAATAAACCATCTCTGTGTAGGTAGATGCACTTTTGTGGAAATCAAAATGTGGATTAATTTTACTTGGTCTTGGTACTCTTGTAGATTCAGACTGAAAGATGTGTATCTTCATGCAAGACATTCAGTAAATCAGCGAAGCCACAACCAGCGGTGTGCAGGTAGGTACAGGTGCACTTCTAACAAATGTAAAATATGAAGTGATCTTACTTGAGACTTATAGATCCAGTGAGGATAATATGGTGGTTGGTTTGAGCTGGGCTTCTCACTATCTGCAGAGATTATGACTACTTATGTAAAGGACTACCATAGTAACATCACCACAAGAGTGTCTGTCCAATTTAATTGGTCTATGCACAATAATCATGCATGTATGATTGAAAGTCAGACAAAGAATGTGAAGATAAAGTTAAAGTCTTAATCATAGTTAAAGTCACAGATGAAGTTAAAAGTAAGAGTTGAAATTGTAGGCTGGTGATAAAGGGAGGCCAACATCTAGGTAATAAATGTTTGTCGAGTTAAGAAAAGTATCATCTGCTGTAAGCGCTTTTCTTAACAACTAAGGTAAAAACCAGAATATTTCATAATACACAATTTCTTCGCTAGGTAAAATAAGAAATAAATTTGTGAGAGTACTTCCCAAGTGTTTTTCAAAAGCTCTAAGAACAAAATTGATGAAAATGGCCTAAGCCAAGTTCAAATTCTAAAACTTGAATATTAAAGAATATTACTGTAAAATAAGTAAAACCTCATTGTTAATTAAATGGTTGAATAATTCATTACCTGGAGGTAGAATAGTGACCAAAGTTTAACAGAAAAAGCCACTAGAAAAGGTGAACAAAACAGAATGGGGCATATAAAAGTCAATCAAATATTATAAATGCAAATAATGTGTGCTGTGATTAAATAAAAGTGTACAAAGAATAAAGTTTTAATATTTTCTTATCCATATCTATGAGTGATATCTGAAACACATTATAGGCAATTAAAAAGATCTATTAATATTGTTCTAAATTAAC